TTTTCTTCTTCTTCTTCTTCTTCTTCTTCTTCTTCTTCTTCTTCTACAGAAAACGTGGTGTTGTTATTTTCATCTTCTTCTTCATCTCCCGTTTGTTCTTCTCGTTCTTCCGGCTCTTCTTCTTCATCTTCCGTTTGCTCTTCTTCTTCCGACTCTTCCTCCTCCTCCTCCTCCAGATCCTCTTCATCTTCCGGAATCGTGTTTACTTCCTCATCGATTTCCTCCCCCCGTTCTCGATCCTCTACGACCACGTTTTCATTTGCCGCGTCATCTAATATTCATCAGACATATATTATTAGTATTTCACATAATTAAAAAATCTTTTGTGTTGATATATACCACTGTAGTATTTTTCTTACTTACTTTCAAGCGGAGTAAATATGGTCGCCTCATCGAACGGACTTACTTCGCGAACCCGCACTTCTTCCACGTCGTTATCGCTTTCGGCTAAATCAATAACCGGATGCTCCAACTCCGGCGTTAACACGATGCGTGCACGGCCTGGAACGTATAACATTTTTATTAAAAAATTTCCTGTTTAATATAATGTTTTTCTAGCAGCGTGATATAATTTATAATGTTAAAAACTTACGCGAAGGCCCGGGCTCCGGCGAAGAATCCGCTCGTCGTCTTCTATTTAACCTTAGCCTTAGTGATACAGGGCGATTCTCCAGTACGCGCAGCCGGTTTCCTGTAACGCGTGCGACAGGGCGTACGAAAGCTAAAGTTTTAGCGAATTAAATAAATAAATAATTGGGGTAGTTTTAATTAATTTATTTATAATTAACTGTAATAAAAATAAAAACTTACCATTATTATCTTCTCCCCGCAGAACTCGATGAAAATGCAGGAGGAGATATTCTATGTGGCCTGCTGCGTCGTTTTCCTTCTCACCACCAAAATAGTATCGCGACTCGATCACCTCACCCGCGATAATCACTAATTCGCGAAAAACACTAAAATGCCCTAGTCGGAATAATACCGCTAGCACAGCGCTGGGACATTCCCCCGCGAATTTTCCAAAAATATTGAAGCATTTGTCTTCACTAGCGCATGCTAATTCATATATATGCCTGGAAAAATTTTTCCCGCATAAACTCTGCGCTAGTGATAGACAAATTTCAATTACTTTTTTCAAACTCATTATTTGAAATTTAATAGTACACTTGCGTCGAATACGTGAGTACGCGAGAGACGAAATTCGAAAAAATGTAACTAACTTAACTCCGAGAGCCGTATTTATACGTTTTTATCAAGATGGGGAATTTTCAGGTAACTTTTCTCGATTTTATTTTATCTTTTTTTCTCATACCCGAGTATTCTTACCCTTGTTTTATATATATGTTAATATTTACTTAGATATAGAAAATATTTAATTTAGGGCAATATTTACTTAATTACAAAAAGTTTATGGAAATCAAGATGAGGAATTTTTAGTTATCTTTTCTCTATTTTATTTTATCTTTTTTATCTTTTTTCTCATGCCCGAGTATTCTTACCCTTGTTTTATATATAAATATATATATATATATGGTAATATTTACTTATTGTTAGATACAGAAAATATTTAATCTAGGGCGATATTTACTTAGCTACAAAAAGTTTATGGAAATCAAGATGAGAAATTTTCGGGTATCTTTTCTCGATAGCGGTAGGAATTTTATATTTTCTCTGTAGTCAGATTTAAAAATTATATCATTTATATTGTTTAAAAAATTCCCCTTCCACATTAAAAATTATATCGTTTATATTGTTTAAAAAATTCCTCTCCCACATAATTTTTATTATACTACACATGCATTTTCTCCCTATTACTTTATTGTTTAAAAATTCCCCTTCCGCATTAAAAATTATATCATTTATATTGTTTAAAAATTCCCCTTCCTCATAATTTTTATTTATCTGCGCATGCCTTTTCTCCCTACCACTTCTATTTTATCTTCTTATAAATTTTCTTGAAAATCTTCGCTCACTCGTCTTTCATCGTCCGGACTTTCAAGTTCGTTAGTAAAAAGATAGTTAGTAAAAAAGTTCTCGATTTTTCGATTTTTCCGCGTCTTTGATTATTAAATCTTTGATTTTCTACGCGGTAGCAACTACCATGAACAATCTTAAGAAAATCGAGCAACAACCGCGCATGTTGCTGTCAACAACATACGGATTGAATTCATCCTACACGAAGAAAATTCAAGTGGGTCTTATGACGGAAGACAACGTCGAACTGGATTTTCTACCTGCTGTTAAATTAACATCTCACGGAGCTGCAGGGATTTGCTTCGACATGGAATCGTGGCAAAAATTTCAAGAAAACATGGAAACGATGTCGAGCTACTTAAATGGTGATAAAATTAATTTGAGCTCGATCATCTTTAACAAGATAATTATAAATTTCACTACCGCATATGGTGCTAGAGCCATACTAATAACATATCGTGAAAACGAACAAGAAGATCTTTCTTCCGAAACTGCGGAGGATACGAACGAAAACGGACCGAAGGCGAAGAAACGTAAAACTTACAACATTGCGATAGTCATGCAGAGAACGACTTTTCAAGGTGTAGAAAATATAGTTAATTGTGTGAACGCTAATTTAAATCGTCTAAATTTTATTTCAACTAATGTCAACGAATGTGCTCGATATTTAATTAACGAAATACAGTTAAATCTTCCTGTCAACGGTAGCATTAATAGCAGTATCGTGAAACTCACGATCAGAGGTAACAGTAAGGAAATAGAACGTAATGTACGCACCCAACTGAAAGATTTAACATTTCTCGATGTATACTTCGAGATAACATTTTTAGAAATAATTTCACTTTATTTCGAACAAATTGTATATGCAATTATATCAAAACGTAAATTTTAATAATTATTCGACGAATATTTTTTTGAAATGATTGTGAATAATTTTGTTCTGTAAAATATTTTAAATATAAATCATATTTGTACTTTTAAAACCATTGTTCAATTTTCTTTCACTTACTCTTTCCAGAAATTTCCTCAACATGCATGTTCCTGTTTACCTTCATTAAGCAGCGAGTTATTTTAAAATAAAATTTTATCTGACATCTTTCTAATCTACGACGATGTATTATTATTTTTTATCGTGACGCGAGTCGGAATGCTCGCCTGTACAAATATTTGCGTGTTCTTTTTTATTACCCTACGCCATTGTCAGCTACTACCTGCCACCGGTCGACCGCACGACGCTTTTCTTGGCCAAAATGTTTTTACCCCACCCCGTCTAATATCGACCATTTGATTCGACGAGCTATCCTTGCCATACGTATACCCGAACTGTTTTTACCCCACCCCCGTCCAATATCGACCATTTGATTCGACGAGCTATCCTTGCCATACGTATACCCGAACCCCCATGCCGTACTCTACGCAACTTTAGCTTAAATACCACATCTAATCCTTAGACTAGTAAGATCTCGTTTAGCTCAACATACTAGGACCCTGCTCGGAAACACGGAGGTCCCGGGTTCAAATCCAGAGAAAATCAGAAAAAATAAAAAATAAAAATTCTCATCCCCACCTTTCGGGGCCAGTCGCCATTTTTTTTTCCCCCAACACCCTTTCCCCCTAACACCCACACTCGGAAAAGCCAGACGCCGGTGGTGGGGGAAAGATAAGATAAGACCCGGCGCCAGACGGGTCGGTGGTGGGGGTTTGTTTTGACGGGCCATACCTGCCATTATACTACTTATATTTAAATAACTAATTTGATCTTACGGAAAATATTGCATCGAGAAAATATTACGCATGTGAGGCAACGTTCGGTAAAAAGAAGTGGAAGAAATTTAAACAACAATCCAAGCACACCATTATAATCGAGCAGACTGCTACTTTTGTAGCCAAATGGCTTCAACCGGAAAAGGAAGTATCTTGCTCGTACATTAAATCATCATTAAATACCATCGCACAAGATGTATTGAGTCGCCTAAAACAAAAACATCCTAATCATAAAATATTCTCCGAAAACGCTACACACAAATTTAGCTATACATCGTATATTGACAACAATGTCTACGATAATTTTTGGAACCTAGAGGAATCAACTCAAATTTTGGATATACTCGAAGAACACATGTTTAAAGAATTAAACTTTCGACCAAGCAAATCGAACGTCAAAAAATGGGATATAGTTGTATAGATAATGTATATTTATTATAAATAATAATATATAATATAATTATTACCAATTATATATTGTGAACATATCCATATATGTGTGTTTAAATAATTAATAAATTATTAACAAATAAAATAAATAATTATAATTAATATAATATTAATGATAATTAATAATGAAATATTAATTTTTGAATAAATTTAAGTTATTTATATTAAAATACATCTTTTTTTTCTATCTCTAATTATTTTCCGTATTATAATTTCCATAACAGGTCTTAAAAAATAAATATGGCCATAAAATTATTTTATTAATAATATATCAAGTGTAGCCAGAAGACTTGGTGTACGATGCGATATAAGAAAATATCAGGAACGTACATTTATATTTTGGAAACGTAAATATATGTAAGTATAATGGATTATGAATTATTTAAATTTTTCGTTATATTTTTACTTTTATACACAGACACATGTTGTACATACATGTATGTATAACTTCATTGTTTTTAGGCTAGAGAGCAACTTAGAAAATGCAATGTTCATTATTAACATATGTGATAAATCCTTGGGTTGTCTTATCAAGAAACAGTGTGATTCAGAACCATCTGAAATAATAACAGCTAAAGAGGTTGGCAATTACTTATATTTAATTTATATTAATTTTAACACTCTTAATTATTAATACATTTGTAACTTCGGTAAAAATACGAGTTATTGAAACACACTTTATAAGTAAAAAGAATATACATTTCTCATTTTTTTCTTTTATAATCGTAGCTTTGTTCATATGTATTACAATTTCTTTCATCTTTCAGTTATTACTAGAAATTCTACAAACATTTGAGGAACCGCCCTTTATAATAATGCTTTGATGATTGTGCCAAATGAAGTATTACGTTATAGAAAATTATTAAATTCCTCGATTGACCAAAGTAATAACCATGTAAGATAAACACATGTTAATATATAATAACGATAAATATAAACTTTTTAGTTGTATTTTCTTTCATATAACACATCCAATTATGTACAATAAATCATAATTATCTATAATTCAATTAATTTAACTTGCTATATAAAAATACATTTAGAAGTTACTTAAAAACAAATATTATTTAAAGTTTAATATTATACATATTTCCAGGATATAATATTTCATCCTTCTGTTATGGAAAAAAGATAGATCAAAGACCTAATAAATATGCAGTTGGAATGATCGTAACACATAATGAATATGAAGATGAGTGTAGTGATATTAAAAATGAACATAAAAAAAATATTGCAGGTGTAATAATCGGATGGTACATAAACGGTCACAAAATTAGGTTAACCGGAAACAAAGTATGGCAATCTCGTATGCGTTTCAATATTTGTTGTAATTTTGGGGATCCAAATGATCTAACACATTATGTAATTCTTACGGAAAAGAATGAAATGTGTTGCGTAAATGAAGGTATGGATATCAATTAAATATATTGATTTAAAATTACATTTGTATAGTATTCGCGTCATTTCTTTTACACAATATAAAAAGATTGTTTTATTTACTATATTTATTCTTTTATTATAGTTATTTTATTTATTTTAGTTATTATATCTTATTTATTATATTTCTAATGTTTCATTAATTATTCTTAGTCATTGATTTTTTTACGTTTTTTTTTAAATTTAGGCGCCCTGACTTTAACATCTAAATGGATCGAAAACAGCGAAATAGGTCGATATTTTGTAAATTCAAAGACACGCATTACGTGCCAAATAAAATGATGGAAAAACTTTATCCTCACAATGCCGCTATAATTGGCGAAAGAAACAATATATAAAATATAGTAAAAAAATTGATTACCTATGTACAGGGATTGTCCGGAAAGTAATGCGTCGCATTTTTTGTGACGGACTATACATCGCAGAGCGATGGGACCGGTTGGGAGGAAGGGGGGTACCCTTAGCTTTCCAACGGTAGGTCGCTCAATTGTTTCCATGCGCTTGGAGGGTTAGGACGGCTTATTCTGTGAACCTCTGCTTAGTGGTCGCGTCGAACTTGTGATGGAGAGAACGATAGAGCAACGCTATGCGATAAAGTTTTGCGTGAAGCTGGACAAGACGCCGCTGGAAACTTTTGAAATGCTCAAGAAAGTTTTCGGGGACGATTGCCTTTCCAAATCGCAGTCAAACAGATGGCACAGATGTTTAGAGAAGGTCGGAAGGAGGTCGCCGACGAGGCCCGCGCAGGACGCCCGTCAACATCGCGAACGGACGACAATGTGACTCGTGTGCGCCAATTATTGAATTCAGACCGTCGAATGAATGTTCGCTTAAGTCGGAATTATTGAACTTGCCGAAAACGATTGTTCACGAGATTGTATCGGAAGACTTGGCCATGCGAAAGATTTGCGCAAAACTGTGCCCATACGGCTCACACCGCCTTTGTTATTACGGCCTACCTGACCCGGATCGGTGTGTGTGGCAACGGTGCCGCAGCCGCCCTACAGTCCCGACTTGGCCCCGGCGGACTTTTTTTTATTTCCTCGGCTGAAAAGGGAGCTCAAAGGACAACAGCTCGAGTCGGTTGACAACGTAAAGCTACTTCGACGGCCTCCCTGAACAGCATCCCAGTCAAGGAGTTCCAGAAATCTTATGACGCATGGAAATCGCGTTGGCAAAATGTATTGACGCAGAAGGGTCATACTTCGAACAATTTTAGTGTTTTACCTATGCGATCAATAAATTCCTTTTTAAAAAAATGCGACGCATTACTTTCCGGACAACCCTGGATAAGCGCAAACACAGTAATTAAAGCGCATATTATTTTTGGTAAATTATTGCATATGTAACGTTATATCAAAAAGAAAAGCGGACTTTTCCGGTCCTTTTTTTGGGGGAGAGTCGTTTTTAATGCAATTAAATGAGTAAATGTTACAAAATAATATAAAAATAAATTACTTATTAGTTATAAATGTAAATTCGGACTGAGTCCTCTTATATATCTGAATAGTGTAAAATGTTTAAATGCTGAATTAAAAATATAACATGTATTTTCAGCTGTATTACATCCCTACATATACGAAATGTATAACTTACAAATCGATCAAACAATCACAAACATCTAATAGTATAAATTACATTATTAAAATATGGAATATACACATTTTATCAAATTATACTGAATTATAAAAAAGACTATACAATTATTTTATATAATATTTTTGAATATTTTATTACATTAATAAAGAATACTGTATACAATATCAGAAAAATTCTTAAATTGCAAAATAATATACTGTATGGCTGTATAATTATTTAATTATGTGTGAATAAATATTTATTAAAGTATTATTTTTTTTAAGTATTATATAAGTATTTTATAAGTTTTTAGAATTTTTTATATAAAAATTTTTAATAGTTTGTGGTTATATAGTATTATAAGTAAAAAAAGTTGTTATATGTAAATATCTGAAATCTAGAGATTTGCATAAATTAAAATTGTAATACTATAAACATAAATTATTATATAAATAAATCGCTAAGTCAAAATATTTAGCATTTAAATTTTGAGCTTCATACCACTATGAAAGAGCAGACTAAAGCTATTCGTTAATTAATATATATATATATTTTTTAATGTCTTAATTTTATTCCAAGCTGTCACATTTGTAATATTTGAAAACAATTAGAATCAATTAAAAAGCAACAATTAGAAACAATTAATGAATAAGAGCATATATGTTCAGCGACATATCGAGATCTCTATATCAAGTTCACTATAAATAAATCTGATAACGTTTAAGTATTTGTATCTTTTATTAAATAAAAAAAGAACCACGCCTCAAAATTATTAATTTAGATTTTAATATTGACGGTTTACTTTTGCTTAAAAGTAACTATTTTGTAAAATAGTTTATTAGTGGAAAAGGAAGAACTAGTGTTGTTAATTTCTGCTCTAAAAAATTTATTATTATATATATATATTTTTTTTAACCTTATATAAGAAATTAATATAAAAATTTATACAATAAAAAAATGTAAAGAATTTATAATTAATCTTTAGCTATACCTGACAGGGACTAAAAGTGCTACCCTGTACACTTTTTAAACTGATAACATTTTTTCACAAAGAGGCGGTTCCGGATAAGATAAAATTCTTCTCCGTTTCCAAGTTAAATAAAAATATAAAAATATAAAAATGTGCAGCACTTGCAGATCGCAATAAAATTTTTTCATATGTAAAACTACTTTTTCAAATTATTAAAATATTCTTCATGCACTTGTTTATACATTTAACATTTGTATGTAATTTTATAAAAAATATAAATTATCACTTTCCATACCATTTTGAATTTATGTCATCTAAAAGTTTTTGAAAAATACTTATTATCATTTTCTATATGTTTATATTTTATGTCAAAAGTCACAAGTTTTACTATTTCTAAATAAAAGCAATTTTTGCCAAATTATATATATACTAAATAAACAAACTGTGTGAGAATAAAACCAAAATAGGATACTATTTTGAATATAAATCGTGACTTTTCGATGAACTATCGCGATACATCAAACCAACAACAATTGTTATAATTTATATTACGAGTTTTTTTGAAAAATTAAAATATTCTATAATTGATAATTATATAATAATTATTATATTTCTAATTTCCGCTCATATATTATGTTATACATAGAAGGTCTCAAAATTTTAACAAGTTTACTTTATCAAATCTCTCTGATAAAACACACACAACAATAAGAATTTTTATTAAATTTAAATAAAATATTTTATCTCAATACTCCTTTATAATAATAATCATTTATTGAAATAAATAATATTGATTTGATGTAAAAAAATTATTGTTTGATGTAAGAAAATTTTTTTAAAAACAGAAAAATAAATATTTATTTGTATCAAATGAATGATTTATATAGCAGTATATAGAAATAAAAAAAATATTTCCCAATGTTGTGTCCCCGCTTGGGAAAGGGGTTCAATAATAATCTGCCACGTATTCACTAAATTCACAATCGGTTTATTTTCTGGCTTCGTATAATCAGCTGTGTGTGTGTGCTTACGCTGTGCCGGAGAGAAAAAGAGCGGATCCGCCGATACGTGGATATATATCTAAAAACTCACCTTTAAAAAAAGGTAAAAAAAGGCGACCAGTTAAGGGCACGCCATTAACAAAAATTATCCATTGCAAACCCATGTAGAATCTATCCTATTGCAAACCCATGTAGAATCTATGAAAAATTAATCATTGCAAACCCATGAAGAAACCTAGGCAAAATTAACCATTGCAAACCATGTAGAATGGTACCCATAGCAAACCTATGTAAAATCCTATGAAAAATTAACCATTGCAAACTCATGTAGAATCCTATGAAAAATTAACCATTGCAAACCCATGTAGAATTGTATTAAAAATTATCCATTGCAAACTTATGTAGAATCCTACATTGCAAACCCATGTACAATAGAATTGTATGAAAAATTATCGATTATAAACCATGTACAATCGTAACAAAAGTAATGAAATAAAAAAAAAAATTTGCGCCAAGTGAAAGTAGAAACTTGTACCAGTGGAAAATTAAAGTTGCAGATATATATAGAGTCGTATAATGAATCAGTAAAATTTTAAATTTGCAAATGTAGAATCGTACCATAAAAAAACTTATCTTTTAAAAAAAAAAGATAAAACAAGGCCAAGTCCATGCGCCATGTGAAAAAGAAATAAAAAATTTTAGTTAAAAAAAATGAGAGCGCTGCTAAATAATATTCTAACAATATTAAAATTAAATTGTTACTTTTAAACTCATTACAGTTAAAATATGTTTTGTGTTTAAATTAATTAATGTTACTTTAAGGTGCATTGTAATTTTGAAACTTAGCTAACTTTTTTGAAATGGATAATTTTTATACAATTTTTACATGGGTTGCAATGGTTAATTTTTCATAGGATTCACATGAGTTTGCAATGGTTAATTTTTCATAGGATTCTACATAGGTTTCAAATGGTACCATTCTACATGGGTTTGCAATGGTTAATTTTGCCTAGGATTCTTCATGGGTTTGCAATGATTAATTTTCATAGGATTCTACATGGGTTTGCAATAGGATAGGATTCGTTTACATGGGTTTGCAATGGATAATTTTTGTTAATGGCGTGCCCTTAACGGTCGCCTTTTTTTACCTTTTTTTAAAGGTGAGTTTGAGTTTTAAGATTATTTTATACAACGAAATTTTCTCGCAATTCTTCGATATGGGAGTATATATTTATAAGTCCGCGCGCGCGATTTTTTTCTCTCTCGAACATTATTAATAGCTCGAGATTTTTAAAATACGTGTGTTTATCATTGATTATTGTACGATTGTCACGCTAAAAATAGCTTACGATATTTAAAGAATTCAAGAAATGTATTTTTTTTATTAATCGTAAATTATTTTATCGTACACACGTGACCAATTGAAGGAATGAGAACTTCATTTCGATGGGTACAGAAGAATAACTCGAAGCGTAACAGAGAAGAGAAACTCTTTCGCATATGTAAATCTAGGTGCAATCTTAAAAATTTCTCTACTGATGAATTATAATTAAAATGTATACTCTTGTATAAATAATGATTTTTCTAGGTTTCGATTTGTTTCTGAATTATATTGTTATACGAAAAATTACCTTATAACAGTATATTATTATTTTTACAATTGCACGAGTATATATCGATAATAAAACAAAAA